GGCAGGCGACCGGCCGACGCCACCGCGCGCTTGCCTCGCGTCCACTTACCGCGCTTCCTCGCAGCTGCTCGTCCTCTCTATAAATAACTCCTTCCCCCACTTTGTGGGCTTGTGACATCAGATTAAGTAACCCCTCCCCATTCCCGGCCTGCCCAACCAGCCAATCGCTTGCTTACAGGGGCGCTGGAGAGGCCGCGTTGGGCGCCCCCTCTCCCTTTAAAGCCCCAGGACCTCCGTCTTGGAGGGGCCGAAGACGGGCTCCGGTACCAAAGGCGAAAGGCGAAAAAAAGGCGGGCGGCTCGGCTCGGCTCGTGGGGTTGCTCTCGGCCGCTTTCTTGAGGGAGAGGCAAGACGCTCCGTGGAGCTCAAGAAAGATGGTGTGAACACCCGCTTCGGGTCGCCTCCTGTAGGGCCGCTGGTGCCCTCGCCGAGTTACCTTTTCTCTCCAAGTCTGCAGCCTTGTTTCTACCGGTGGGCAACCTTGGGGATCGCTCCTGTCCGAAGACGATCTAAAGGCCTGTCCCGATTTAACTCTCCAGGGACTAAGAGCTGCAGCTACTGTAGTCGTTTTTCCCCCTCCTCTCAGTGCATCCAGATGACTTCCCTCCAGGGATCATTTCTTTCACGTTTTCCCAGTATTTCACCTGACAAAACACTCATGACCATATAATATATCAAATGTAGTTACGGTATTAACGTGAAAGTCATCTGGCTGCTTGCTGGTGAAAAGTGAGGGGGCGCCCTACATCCCCCAAGTTTGCCTCTGTATATCCTCTTGAATAAGTCTACGTACAAAAAAACGCTTAATAAAGTTTTCCTAGACTTTTATTGGATCATTTTATATGGCAGGTGGGATGGGGTAAACTTCAACAATGTAATTTCTATTAAAAGTATCCATGCCTTTAGAAACTTAACACTGAGCAAGTGATCAGTTTAACCCTTCTCTCTGAGCTGATGTCTGAGGCTTTTACCCAGGGAACATTATTATATACAGGAAGCAATCAAGCAACTCCTTCATGGATTGCTGCCTTGTCAGCAAACTAACCCATCCACCCCACCCCCCGCAGCTGGGCTGTCTTAAGAAAAGCTTCTGAATTTATGAAGTGGTCCAAAGAGAAGAAATTCTAAGGATGATAGTTATAGTTTTTATCTTTAAAAGCTTTGAATGCAGAGCCAGCCCAAAGCATTTTTATCTGATTTATTTAATTAGTTATTTAGTTATTTAACTGTCTATTAGTTGATGTGCTGTTCTGGGCAGTTCACAACAAGCAAAATAACAGATAACAAAAACGTGCAAGTATTTAGAAAAAGTAAAGAACAAACTGGCATCACTACTCCATTTTACATACAGACTCCAGCTGGAATGGTGGTCACTGGTCACCAATGGTGAGCTGACTGAATGATTCAGGGAGCTGGTGCACCTGCAGACTGGAGCCTGTGGCTGGGAATTTGATTCTCTACTGTATCTTGTATGAGAAGAGCCAGCTGTGTAGCCTTGCGCAAGTTGGACTGTCCAGGGCAGCTCTAGAAGAAGGCAAGTGGTAATCAAGTTCTAAATACAGTACTCTAGAAACCCTGAGAAGGGTGTCATAAATCAAAATCAACTTGATATCCTATAATTATTGAATATAATTGATAATATATCATCTGCCACCACATCTAACACCCCCCCCAGGACACGCCACTGCAGTTCTCCAGCATGTCTTACTGACATGCCTCTCTGTCTTATGGCAGAGCTGGTCCCATAGGGCTCTGGACAGGTGTCACGTTCCCACCTGTCCCTTGGTTGTTTCACCAATCAAAGGGCACAAGCTAGGTGACGCTGCCACGAGTTGATTACATCAACATTGTTTATTGTTAATCACAGAGGTCCAGACAATGTGTCATTTTAAAAAGAACTAAATAGAAATTGTTTATTATTACAAGTGATGAAGGTATAATCAGTGTTGTTAACTCTTAACAAAACATCCTTCTTCATACATTCTCAACCGCCAACCCTCTCTGTACTCCAAATTCCCAAATCACCCAATCCTCCAATCTCCGTCTAATCTCCAATCTCAATCTCTCCTCCCCCTGCAGAGATTTTTATATCTCATGACTCTGCTTCTCCAGAATTCTCATTGGTCCATGCAGATAGCATATTAATATTTATTAATGGCTTCTATCTTAGTCTCAAGGGGTTTGATCACACCTCCCCTGACTAAATGGCTTAGGGAGAAGTGGCTTACAATTTG